ATGAGAAAAAAAAGAAATATAATTTATTAGATATTATTCGACACTCTTCTATATTTGAAACTGTTTCCGTAATCAGACATTAAATCCTGAGGCTTGCTTTAATATGGCCGCGTAGGTAACGGACACACTCGAATGCAAGACAAAACTACATATAAATAGAACAGTGAGAAAAATCGTTATATTGCATTAATGTCTCTTCCGTTTAGAGAAGAGCCCATATTTACGCGTGCTCGACCGACAAGGACTGCTCATTTCAGAGACTCTATATGTCAAAGCTACCCTTAATTATATTCCAACTGAACTGAAGATGTTCCAAGCTCACATTAAGTGGAAGCAGGCAGCGTTGCTAATGGACAGACCCTGCATGCGGTTAAAATAGACCAAGAAAAGGAACGTTTATTAAAGAAACCTTTTCTTTGGGCAAAGCTGAAGTTAGCAAGTTGGTCTTGCAGTGTAATTCCACAATATACGGAAGTCGATTCTCAATGGATCCACTGATCCACTGGTTTACTGCAAGCTGCAACAAACTTATTTGATAGTGCATACCCAAAGTTACATTTAATATCACATTTAATATGGTTATAGAGTCAGGTTAGCAACAAATCTACAGCGTTTTTGTTTTAAATCATTTTAAAAAAATCTATAAATATATAACAGGAGCACCAGACAATATGTGGCAGCAATATTTAAAGCTTGGACGAATGTTATATCTATAAATATGTGAGATGGATTCTGGAGAGCTAGTTTTTGATTCAATATATTCTTTCCACTTCATGTCAGTGAAAAGCGTTAGACTGAGAAGGTGGAACAAGTCGCTCTCCTGGAGGTTAGCAACAGCTATGCTGATGGAAGGTCAAAAGGTGTCTTTCAGATAATTGATAGAGAACAGTTTCGTTTTGGAGGCGTTAAATTTAACAAGCCACTCCTTGTTCCATTTAACAACAGACTGTAGATCATTTTTAGATCAGTTCCCAATTTGATGTGATCGAACCGATCACACTACTATTAAAACAGGAGTAAATAGCTGTGTCATCAGCATAGATACCGAGTTGAGAACTGAAGACATCAGGAAGGTTATTTATGAAAATTGGGAAGAATCTAGAGTTAAGGATAGAGCCCTGGAGAGACACCTGCATGAAAGATCGAGAAAAGTGGCCGTTTAGGGCAACTTCCATTTAGCGATTTGATAAGAAAGACTGAATCAGTTCAAAAATTCATCCAGAAATACCATAACCTTCGATGTTATGAAGAAGACCAGAATGCCAACCCTGTCAAATGCTTCCGAGATGACCAAAGGAACAGATTGAGCTCCATCATTCTTATCTAATGCTTGATAGACTCTTTCTCCAATAATCGTTATTACATCAGCATTTGACATCGAGAAGCGAAAGCCATATTTTTTATTTGAAAGAAAACACTACGATGTGAGATGCTTGACCAATTCAGAGTTGACTGGGGTAAACATCAGCAAATCAGACATCATATATATCTATATCTATCTATCCTATCTATCTATCTATCTCTCACTCTCTCTCTCTATATATATATATTTATATATATATATATATATATATATATATATATATATATATGAATTGGGTCGTGATTACGATTCCAATGTAATAAATTATAACCATGGAATATTAGTGTTTGAGCCTTTTATATTATATGCTTACTTTGTCCTGGATATTGAGTTCTATCTGGATTCTATCTTCTTTGGAATATATATATATATATATATATATATATATATATATATAAATTTCTATATATCAAAACAATTAGGTAATTGAATGTAAAAGTGAAAAAATCTTATACAACGCGTTTCCTTATTCATGATTAAAAACCAACGATTGTGTTTACCTCACCCCCTGTTCCGCCTCCTCCTGTACATCTATAATTAATTCAATAAAAAAAAAACATTACTCTTGTCCAGAGAAGTCCTTCTATAGGAGGAAACCCGTTACCGCTGATTGTTCCTCTTCTTCCTAAAGAGATATATATATATATATATATATATATATATATATATATATATATATATATATATATATATATATATATATCATCAGGCCATTAGGTGGTGATTTCAATGTTCACTTATATATATATATATATATATATATATATATATATATATATATATATATATATATATATATATATATATATATATATATATATATATATTATACTAATAGTAATACTGGTTGGAAAAACACTCGGATATCACAAATTAGTACCTGAGGAAAAAAAAATTCGGAAAAGAAAGAACTAGAAACATCCGAACAGAGCGAAGCAAATCGTACAGTGCCTTAATTTTTAGTCCAACGATAAAAACCCAAGCGAGTAATAAATCAAGGTAGGTTGTTCCTAGCTCTTTAGAATATATATATATATATATATATATATATATATATATATATATATATATATATATATATATATATATATATATAGATATATGTCTATATTTCTGAGATGAGGTATTATGTACATTACTTACATTATTCGGACTATTGTCCTCATCTTTGTCGCCATATTTATCACAACGTTTCTGCCGTTGTACGCTCCGGCCTTCTTCAGGTGGTTGGAATTTCAAACTGAACCTT